CTTCACAGTCGCACGCAGGAGATCCGAGTTCGATTCCCGAGTGGAATGAACTCTTTTATCGAGTATCTCGGTCTTTCTCCTGGGTTGTTTTATCCTTTTCAGCCCAGACTGGCCTTGATAGGTAGGATAGGAGCCCGCCTCCTAAACGATCTAAATCATGTCGATGAGGGCAGAAAAACACTTACATTGATTTTTGAAAACTTAACAATGGAGCAGTCAGTCCTGCTGTGAGTCTACGTACGGTAGGGTGTTTTTGACTCAGTTGTTTCAGGACATTTTCAAGGCTTTCGTTTTGTCTCTGTATATTGAGCTGGATTTAAGTCCCAACGATCCAGTCTTTTACGCTTAGATAACCCGAGGAGGGCATCCAAACCCAAACCATTACCTCCATACCCTACTTTACTACTTTACATGTTGTTTTAGCTTCAGTTTAAATATAATTAGTACTCACCCCCCCCCTCTTTCTCTCTCTCTCTCTCTCATTCTCTCTCTCTCTCTCTCTCTCTCTCTCTCTCTCTCTCTCTTTCTCTTTCACACCCACTATCACTCTTTCTCTCAGTCTCTCTCTCTACCTCTCTCTCTTTCACACACATACTCTGTCTGTCTGTCTGTCTGTCTGTCTGTCTGTCTGTCTGTCTGTCTGTCTGTCTGTCTGTCTGTCTGTCTGTCTGTCTGTCTGTTTCCTTTTCTTTCTCTTTTGTCTCATTCACTGATTCAACATGTGTTTGTATTCGAGATTATGTGCATGTCTTTGTGTGTGTTTGTGTCTTTGTGTGTATGCGCGCGCACGCACGCGCATGTATGTGTGTATGTACGTGTGTGTTTTGTATGTGTGTGTTTGTGTGTGTGTGTGTGTGTGTGTGTGTGTGTGTGTGTGTGTGCGTGCGTGCGTGCGTGCGTGCGTGCGCTCGTGCGCGTGCTTGCGTGTTTGCCTGTGTGCACACGCGCGCGCGCGCGTATGAGTGTGTCACATGTAAGCTCTTTGTGAATGGTGTGAAGGACTTCAGTGAACAGTAATAATCATAATGTATACTTCTGGGGAACGGGATTTGAACACTATTTTCTTTCACAGCCATTTATGATTCATCTTCTTTGCACTTTATGTTTGATGTTATTGTTCTATACTACTGAGATATTAAAGTTCCACAAAGAATTTAGAAGCATCCTTAAATTGCACAAATTGTACAGTAATTTAAAAAGAAAATGATTTTAAAAGTGAATTTAAATCTCTTTCTTTTTTTTCTTCTTTTCTTTCTTTCTTTAAAAAAAACACTCATCTTATGAACTCTCCACGTTCCCTAGCTGTGGCTAAAATTGTCTCGACTCCTTGATTTGAATAACCGGCACCTAATTCTGTTTACCTCAACCAACTGTCTTTTTGTTAGGTTTTGACTGTCTTTGTACTGTCATTGAGGGATACATTGCGCTTTAAAACATCATTAACATGTTATAATGCATGAATGATAAGCCTGCACACTATCACAAACATGGATTATCCACTCACATTGTTTCTGGTAGCTACTGCTCAGCTCTCTGTTTTTGAGCTAGGATTATTGCGTCTTGCTCCAAAACACAACCTAGTGGCCATCCACTCCAACATCGTGTAACCGAGACGCGCTTGATGTTTTTGCGTCATATTTTCCTTGCCTTTCGCTCCCCCCTTCCCCATAATTGAAAAAAATGCTAACTCTGTAGAACCGATAAATGCTCAGGCTTTGAAATAGCAATAATATTCCATCTTTCACAACCAGAAAGTGCCAGATCTGAAAAAGACATCGGTGTTCATAGTTTCCCATTTATTTCTCCGCTTGATTTATATCTCTTGTGGGACACAAAACGTAAACCAAACAAAAATAAAGAGGTTTTGCTTTTGTGTTGCATAAGAATAATCTCAATTCTAGAAACAAAAACTCTTTGAACGGACAGACTCTCATTAGCTCTTAACGCGGGCAACGCTCACAAGAGCTACCATTAAGTGTCACGGTGCCGTGGAATCAGGCGCTCGTCATTTTTGGGGGCAGGTGGAGTTACTGTGGTCTCATCTTAAAATCTTTATGCATGTTGATTTGTCTTCCTTTGTGTAAATAAAAATACCCATCTATCTTGAATAAAAGTTGAGATACTTGGGATTGAAGGAGGTGGGGGTCACCTGGTGTCAGAGGTAAAATTAGTAGGAAAATGGTCGCCAAAGTTGGATGACTTCGAAATCTTGGTCCTCCTTTGAATTGGCAAATTTACGTTTTTAAGCCTTTGATCAACGTTTTTCAACAAAATCCATACAAAAAATATGTTTTAAATGGACCTAAAAGGCGCTGAGCCAAAAACCAAAACTTCGATAAAATTTGCCAAACGGGCGGAAGAATGACAATTTCTTTGATTTCAGTATTTTGACGAGCGCCTGATTTCACCACGATGCCTCAAATTCATTGCTTATTGCAGATATTTTGTAACAACGACAGCATCCAGTCGACAAGAGTAAAGCGAACTGCCTTTATTTTTCAGAAAGTTAGCAGTATTTGCAAGCGTGACAAAATCGGGTAGAAGTTTGTGTATAAATATAAAGAATAATTCTGTGACCACGAAAACAAGTTCTACAGGTGGCGCACAGTTCATTGCTTTTTTCCTTTAAAAAAAAATTTCGGCAAGTTTTCTCTGTGTTTTTGATGTTGCTTGCTGTTGTTATTTCGCCGGGGTTGGGGATCTTGGGCGAATGTACAGCAGGAGACCGATCGCCACACCCCCACCTCGGCCATGCCCCTTAAGGGCTAGTGAGGCTGACTTGATCAGACGATAAACAGATACATTTTTTAATGATAAATGATCGTTGAAAGAATTTTAAGTGTACAACTATGCACATTGTAGGGGTGGTTGGAGTGCACCACTCGAAAGTCCCACTTCTTTACTTTCCCTCTCTTGTTTATGTCTGTTGTGTCCATTATTATGTTGATGTGCTTCTGTTTATTCAAATAAACAAAAAATTATATTTATAGCCCCATCCTCCTTATTCCGTGCGACCGACCTGCTACCATAATAACATTTAATCAAGAATAATAATGTCTATGAACCATTCTGAGATGTAAGTGCAGCAACAGAAGACCACCACTTAACCACTGAAAGTAGGCTACACGTATTCGCCAGATAAAACGCTAACACACACACACAAAAAAAAAACCATACGAGGGCATCTTCATCTCATGTCATAGTAAAAACTTCGTAAAAAGAATCTAAGAGTTCAGGGGACTGTGTTATCGCAATCATTACGGTGTCAAACTGCATTTCATGTACCAGTACAAAATATAGCAAGATTAACATATCATCATTAAAACTATGTGAAACGTTAAAGGGCCATTTTAAGTTTAAATTTGAGTTTTGATGTCTTTTGTTTTGTTGTTGTTGTCTTTTTATCGTGGGGGGGAGGGGGTTGTGTGTGTGTGTGTGTGTGTGTGTGTGTGTGTGTGTGTGTGTGTGTGTGTGTGTGTGTGTGTGTGTGTGTGTGTGTGTGTGTGTGTGTGTGTGTGTGTGTGTGTGTGTGTGTGTGTGTGTGTGTGTGTGTGTGTTAACTGCTTGAGATGATATGTTACCCCGAGCAAATAACTTGATTAAATCGAATGAATTTTATTTGCTCCAGTCTTTTCTACTTTATTAACCCCTCCCCCACCCCCATACTCCTTGCCTTGGAACTTTGTTCTTTAGGAGATTGTGCTGTATACAGGTACGTTTTATAAACTACGATCTCCCTAGTGTATGAACAGTGGGCGGTTGTTGTTTTGTTTGCTCAATGCCACGAATGTAATGTTGGTAACTAGTTAATGATAGAATGCCAGAAGCTAGAAAAATAATCTCAGGACCTTACTTTAACTCAGTACCGCAAGATAGTTTAGTCACGCGGCTTTTATTTATAAGTAGCAACCCGGCAGTTCCAATCGTTAAATTATCGGCAAGCATGCTATCGTTAACTTGTGTAGGTAAAAGACTAGCCTTTTGCTTGCTGTTTTCAGCATGCTTCGTTTTCTTGTTTCAAGATGCCAATGGTTACGAGCCTAACTGGAAGTCTCTAGATTCGAGGCCTCTGCCTGGTTGGTACGATGATGCCAAATTGGGTATCTTCGTCCACTGGGGAGTTTTTTCTGTCCCCAGTTTCTCTTCAGAGTGGTTCTGGTATAACTGGAAAGACAAAAAAGCTCCGCCAATTGTTGAATTCATGAAGAAGAATTACCGGCCAGACTTTACGTACGCAGACTTTGGCAAGGAATTTACAGCTGAGTTCTTTGACTCGAATAAATGGGCAGACATGTTTGGAAAATCCGGTGCAAAGTAAGTAGATCTATATAACTGTAAAGAAGAGAAAATACAATTTTATTCATTTCTGCGTTAACATTATAAGATACATTTGTTGTATACATCATGTGTACATACAATAAACCATCTTACTTCACTGTAATAGGCCTCTATACATACAATGAAATAATAAGAATGGAGAGAACATTATGTTGCTATCTATGTGATCCTGATTCCTACTCCCATACGCCTACTTTCCGTAGGTTTTTTGTACTGGTTTGAGCGACCTACGAGATTATATATCATCACATCAGTGTTATCAGTTGACTTTCTGATGAAGTGAAATAATTTTGAAAAAGATTAATTGATTATTTTCGCCTGGCATGCTGTAGAACGTTATTGCGTTAGGATAATGTGATACACCTTTATGATGGAGACACTTTGGCGTAGGCCTGTAGTGTTGTATCACATTATTTAAGAAATTATAGGTTACATCTGGCTTTTGAAGAGGGTTTTAATAATACTCGTGTAGGGTGTGAGCACTGGGTGGTCATAGTTGTTACGTTTGCTGAATGCCGCTGACATACTGACGTTCGTAACATAAAAATAATAATAATACAATTTTAAAGGCCAGACAAAATCAACTCAGGATTTTATTTCAACTCAGGACCGTAAGATTGTTTGGTCACGTGACTTTTATTACTTAAGTAGCAGCCCGGCAGTTTCAATTGTTCATTCATCGGGAAACATGGCATCGCCAACTTATGCTGGCAAAGGACTAGCCTTTTGCTTGCTGTTTTCAGCATGCTTCCTTTTCTTGTTCCAAGATGTCAATGGTTATGAGCCTAACTGGAAGTCGCTAGATTCGAGGCCTCTGCCTGGTTGGTACGATGATGCCAAATTGGGTATCTTCGTCCACTGGGGAGTTTTCTCAGTCCCCAGCTTCTCTTCAGAGTGGTTCTGGTATAGATGGAAAGGCATAAAAGCTCCACCCGTTGTCGAATTTATGGAGAAGAATTACAAGCCAGACTTTACGTACGCAGACTTTGGCAAGGAGTTTACTGCTGAGTTTTTTGACGGGAATAAATGGGCAGACATGTTTGGAAAATCTGGTGCGAAGTAAGTGGCGCTATAAAGAAGGGAACAGTACGATTTTATTTATTCTCATTTGAACATTTGAGTTACAATGGCAAGCCTAAACATAGTGCGCTGGTCTACATAGAAAAGGCCACGTTACTGCACTGTAATTTACACTATAAAATTACATGTTGCTTTCTGTAGGATCTGATTCCAACTTCTATAAGTTATTTTCAGTAATTTTTATTCTGATTTTAACGACCAAAGAGATTACAAATTAATAAATCATATTAGTGTTTGAAGTACCGTTCAAAATTTTAGATATTGCGTAAAACAATAAAACAAAACATGTTTTGAAAAAAAGTCAACGACAAGCAGTGTTCAAATCTTTTATAAATACAAGGTTATCACTGGCGCCTAAATGGCCATTACTGTGTCTGTAGCGCCATAAAACAACAGCCACACTCGACCAAAGTCCTCATGCTTCATTTAGGTACATAATACGTTTTCTGACTACACAGTATACGAGCTTGAGTTTCTGATTTTTGTATAATGGTTTGAAATGTGCTGAAACGTTGCCTTGGGTCTGCTGCTGATGGGGCATATGTGGCCGATACGTCATCAAGGAGTTCATTGTGTACGCCCATTTCTTTTGATCCCCTCTAGCCTCCCTTGAAACAATAATTATTAAAATTTGGGAGATTCTTCAACAGCACCCACAGCTTTGATAATGATTGAGTTAAGGAAATCTCACTTTATTATTGTGTGCTGAAATGTGACAACCCCATGTTACAGATGTAGTTAAGTTTATTACAGCAATAACACAAAGAGAAAAAACCGAACTGATCAAAAAGAGAGACAACAGAAAGGAATGGGGTACCACGATCGTCAGTGTATGCTCCAGACTTGACACCTGATGAAGAAGAATCACAGCAATGGCGTGAACGGTATTAGAAAATGTTATCGTACTAACAAATGGCTGTTTCTTTTTTCTTTCCCTTTTAGGTACGTAGTCTTCGTAAGCAAGCATCATGAAGGATATACAAACTGGCCGTCCAAATACTCATTCAGCTGGAATTCGATGGCTCTAGGGCCAAAGAAAGACATTGTTGGTAAGTCCTTTTCCTAGACAGATAATTCTCCAGATAGCATATTCTTGTCTTTGTTTGTTTGTTTGTTTGTTGTTGTTTTTTTTTGGGGGGGGGGGGGAGGGGGTTGAATGAAGTTTTAAAGTTTTTGTATGAGGTAGGTGTGGAGGAGTTGTAATCACTATGTAATCTGTGGTACATGCAAATCAGTCAAGAAGAAGCCTTGAGACTTTGTTGGCCTATATGGAAAGAGTGCTTGTAAATTGTTCTCCCTGCAAAAAAATACCCCCACCCCCAAATCAATCCCAATCTGTTCTTCCTTAAAATACCCAACCCAAGCCAATAGGTTTTATAATGGTATCTGTG